TGTCTTCTCTGAAGCAATAAGTGGTTAGTTTTCTTCCTACTTTGTTTCTTTTTCTTCTATAAATGGGGAAAAAGCGTCCAGTGTGGACGCAGCTCTTTCGTGGGAGGAAGCTGTTGGTTCCGGTTCTGCAGCCTGGCTTGTTAACTGAGTGGCCTTCACTGGCCACGCAGGGGAGCCAGGAGGCGGAGGGCAGCTGATTCTTCCTTAATGTCTGTTTTAAGTGCAGTATAAAAATTCAGCAGACTTTGCTTCTGAGTCTTCATATTCTTTCACTGGGTACTGAATTTTCTGCTCTATTAGAAATGATAGCAAGCAAATTGATGCCTCAAACTGATGCTTAAAATATATAATCAAATGCATGTTGAATGCAATAGGTTGAATCCAAGTACTTCTCTGTAAAAGCTTCTGTTTATTATTTAAGAGCAAACTAATATACTTAATTAAGATGGTATAGAAGGAATACAAATTTTTAGGCTGGGCATAGGAAAAATTAATAGTATGAAGGAAAAAGACTTTCACATTGAGTCACTGACCTGAGCTGGGTGATATTTCTTGATTTTAAAAATACTTTGTTGGCAGTCCTCAGAAAGAGACTTCCGTTCCACCTCAGGCATACGTAACTCCAAAGTGGACACCAGGATCCTAGGCTCTCATTGGCCCCAGTCAGGCGGCATGTCTGTGTGGAAGCTCCTGTGTGCCCAGATGTTAGGCATGGGACACATGGCAGAAAGCTGCAGAGCCTGTGCTTTGAGTGGGCGACAGGCAGTGATCATGCAGCTAAGCACATCCTTTTAGGTGCTGACACTTTTCAAACATGAAAAATGTTGTGAAAGCAGTGAAATGTGTAAATGAGGAGGAGGGGGGCAAGTGATTGGGGGACCATAGAAGCCAGGGTGTTTGGGCAAACTCAGTGACATGTGAGTGGAGAGCCACTTGATGAGAATGGGTGGCCGTGTGACTGGGGAAGTACTCTGGACAGCAGGAGATGAGGAAGGAAGGAGCTTGGTGGCCCCAGTGCACTAAGCAAGAACATACTAGAAGATGAGGCAGAAGTAGACAGGGGTGAGCCCCTATAGAAACTTGTAGGCCTGGTGCTCGGTCAGGAATTGGTTGGGAGATGGGAGCTGGATCATGGGGTGGCTCTTGCTGTGGTCCAGGCTGGCGATGATGCTGACTCAGATCAGTTAGAGCAGTGGGGACAGACAGATGTGGTGAAATCTGTTCATTCTACATGTGTGTTGATGACTTGTGTACCATGCACCAGTACTGGGGAGACAGTTCTGGACTAAACAGAAGAAAGGCCAGAGCTCAGTCCTGGAGAGGATAAACATGGCTGAGAGGAGGGCATGAATGGGGTGGTAGTGGAACAGTGGGGCATGACTGCGGAAGGCCCCCAAGATTCACAGTCTTGGGAGCTGTAGCCAAGAGGACTTTTTCTCCCCAGCTTTATCAAGATATTATGGACGTTAACATATGTAAGTTTAGATACATGTATACATTGCAAGACGATTACTACAGTAAGGTTAGTTAACATATCCATCCCCTCACGTGATTATGATTTTTGTGTATGTGTGATGATAACACTTGAGATCTACTCTCTTCCCAACTCCCAAGCATATAATATAGTAGTGTTAATTAGATTCATCAAGCTATGTGTTAGATCCCCAGTTATTATTTATCTTATAGTTCAGAGTTAGTCCCCTTCGACCAACATCTCCCTATTGCCTCCAGCCCCAACTCCTGGTAACTGTGTTCTATTTCTGTGAGTTTGGCTTTTTTAGATATCCACATATAAGTGAGAATATACAGTATTTGTCTTTGTCTGACACATCAACCAGCATAATGCCCAAGGGGACTTGTGCTGCATGAATGTGTGTACGGGGAGGGAAGAATTAGGAATGCCTCTTTCATTTCTGACATGAGCATTTCAGAGGGTGGGGGTGGCATGGCCCAAGATATGGAAGCTTGGGGGTTGGATTCTGGGGAAGGAAGGACATTTTTAGACACCTAAGTGGAGGTACGGAGTAGACTGATGGTACAATGGAGGGCTAGAGGACTCTGGGACAGTGACATGCATTTGAGGATCATCCAGTGAATGGATGGTGCAGGAAGCCAGTTGTCTGTGTGTGACAACAGAGATGGGGTGGCTGAGGACAGAGCCCAGAATCCAGGGGAAGAGTGTTCGGTGGGCATGTGGAATCAGGCCTAGATGACGAGGCAGCATCAAGTAACTGAAAGAGTCTGGATGAGGAGAAGGAACCGCCATCAGCTTTGATGATATCACTGGGGGCTTTTCTAAGAGCTGTTCCCGTATCATTATTGGGGCACAAACTTAGTTGGAGGGAGTTGGGGGTAGCCAGGGGATGAAGATGCTAGGGGCTGCGACTATCCAAAAACCTGGTGTCGGGTTTTGCTGTGAAGGGGCCAGCCTCTTACAGGTGTGATCTGATTTGAATGATTTAGCTTCTCACCTATTTCCTCACTTTCCGAGTGGTGATATTACGTAGTGTGAGACGTTAGAGCATCACAGGAGATGAGACACAGTGATGCCTCCACAGCTTCCACACACCCTTTGTCCGGCATGGAGGGGTTTCTGAGTGGGCTTCTCTCATTCTCTTCTGTGTCTTAGAGATTTTGTTTTCTTATCAGTAAAAGGAGGAAACTGGAGAAAAGGAAGTTTCAAGCTCTAGGTTCTCAAGCTTCACCTACTCCTCGGCCCTGGTGCCCCACCTCCACTTTCCCCTTGTCTCTGTCCAGTTCTGTCTGTGGTTATAACCCCCCGCTGGACTCCATCCAGCTCCCTTCTCCCTCCCCTGCTCCACTTGGATTCTATCTTGCACTCAGCCGCCAGATGACTCCTCTAAAAACGGCCTTGCTTGGGCTTCTCTCCCACTCAGAAGTCTTGAGAGGAGCCTCATTCCTGAGATGAAAGTTCCCACTCCCACGTGAGATCCTTCATGCCTTGAGCTGTACCAAACTCCTTTCCTTGGCTCTTTTCTCTGTCTCTGACCATCAGATTTGCTGTCCTTGTTTTGCCTTTTCTCTGCCCTCTGGAATGTCGTGCCCAGTTTTAAATCCCACCCATCCTTCAGGGACCAGCACACGTGCAGACCTCCCTTCGGCGCTGCAGTAGAAGAGACCTTCTCTGTGCAGGAAGCTCCATGTTACCCTGTCTTCCCCACTTTGTTTGGTTCACATCTAGAGCGGACTTGCAGTGTGCCCACCACTGACACCCCCTGCCTTGAATAACAGCTGTTTATCACGGGTCTCAGCTCCTAGCCTTCACCCCGAACCTCTTCAGAGGGCAGGGCACTGGTTATTTGCATATTTGCACACTGTCCTACATCTTGGGTGCTTCATAAATTAGTGAATTACATCAATCAGAAAACTCCGCTTAACAGAAGTGTTAATGGGCAGTTTTATAGATTATTAAATCCTAAAATAGGATATTAATCAAGGTTTTTTTTGTGTATGTATGTCTAGAATTTAAAAAATAAAATGAAGTTTCTAGTACTGATGCTGGCTTATCAAAAGCCTTTGAAATCTGTAGTGCATGGTGTGTGTGGGGTCACAGGGAAGACTGTGTAGCACAGAGAAGGCAAGTAGGGACTGGCATCTTACTACACTTATGGACAGTGACTGCAATGGGGTATGTGGGGGGACTCGATAATAGGGGTGAATGTAGTAACCACAATGTTTTTCTTGTGAAAAAAAAAAAAGGAAGAAAGATAATATGGCCCCTACCCTGTATATTCTGTAATAGCCTGGCAGGGTCTAGCATAATGCCCTATGCTCAAGGACACTAATAGTTCCCCTATAAACATATGAATATTAACATAAAATGGGATAAATAAAGGTTTTGCTGCCAAAAAAAAGCCTTTGAAATCTGCAAAGGCTTTGGCTGAGCAATTCTACTTCTAGGATTTATCCTAAGAAAATAGTCTTGGATATCTGCAGAGAATGTTCACTGGAGTGTGCTTAATGATGTGAAAAATTAGAGATAACCAAAATATCCAACAAATGGGAATTGGTTTAAAAAATGGAAGAACTCCTGGTTCATAGTCATACCTTAGAATTACTGTGTCTTTCTTAAAATGATGATGTAGCAGGATATTTATTGACTTGGTAAAATGTTTGTGTTAAGTGAAGGAAGTATGTTTGAAAATGCTATGTCATTGTCTGATTTCCTCTACTTTAAATTATTTATAGAGAAAGGGCAATTGGCCTAGGTAGCGTTAGTGATTATCTTTGGATGTTGAGATATTGATGATTTTTACTATTTTTTTTGCTGTCTGCTACCTAACCTTTTCCTAGGAAACATGCTTTCTTGATTAATACTTTATTGAAGTTAGAATTGTACACCTCTTTTATTCATATAAACTGTATGTTCTTATCTTTCTGCTAAATTAGCCTTTACATCTGCATTCATGCAGTATTGGGGAGAAAGCTAGGTCACCTGGCCCGTGTCAAATGTCAACAGGAAGCATGGGAGCATGCTCTTTGGGTCCCTGCTTTCCAGATCACAGTGACTGTTCTCCAGTTTAGACTTTATTGCATTGTGTCCTTGAGGCTGGATGCAGCAGTAAGTTGTTACTTGGCTGCTGAGCTGCTTGTTCTGACACTGGGCACTTGTGCTCTGCAGAAAGGCTGTGGAATCCACATAGGCCTGCTTGGGCTGCATCCTTGACTCTCCCGTGTGCTCCTGTGCTCTAAGCTGCGGTTTGCATGTTAGTAGGATGGGGCAGCATCTCCCATGGTCAGTGAGCATGTTGCAAGGTGTCTGGCCCGGAGTAGGCACTTCATGAATGACAGCTGACCCATTAGCTACGCCAGATAGTCAACCTGCAGCCCACATCTACAGCAAGGAATCGAATCTTATTTCTTCAATGATAATATAGGTTTCCTGAAAACCGATCATATTGTGAGACAGAAAATAGTTTTAAAAGTAATTGCCTTTTAACTCATACCTTTCCCGCCCTTGCCCTCTTGTCTCCCTTCAGTCTGCGGGCCGGGCATCGACATCCGCAACGACTATCAGCAGCTGAAGCGCCTGGAAAACTGCACGGTGATCGAGGGCTACCTCCATATCCTGCTCATCTCCAAGGCCGAGGACTACCGCAGCTACCGCTTCCCCAAGCTCACAGTCATCACCGAATACTTGCTGCTGTTCCGCGTGGCCGGCCTCGAGAGCCTGGGTGACCTCTTCCCGAACCTCACTGTCATCCGAGGCTGGAAACTCTTCTACAACTACGCCCTGGTCATCTTCGAGATGACCAACCTCAAGGATATTGGGCTTTACAACCTGAGGAACATTACTCGGGGGGCCATCAGGATCGAGAAGAATGCCGACCTCTGTTACCTCTCCACCGTGGACTGGTCCCTGATCCTGGATGCCGTATCCAATAACTACATCGTGGGGAACAAACCCCCAAAGGAATGCGGGGACCTGTGTCCAGGGACGATGGAGGAGAAGCCATTGTGTGAGAAGACCACCATCAACAACGAGTACAACTACCGCTGTTGGACGACAAATCGCTGCCAGAAAAGTAAGAATGTTGTTGATCGTGGCTTTCCTTCTGTTTCTCTCTTCCCTCCTTCTCAGACACATCCCACCCTTGCCCCTTGTCTTCCCCCTCTCTCTTGCCCTCACCCCTCTTCTTAATGCTCCAGTTCTGCTGGGCGGTAGGAGTTGTACGGCGTTTAGGATGTGGCCCGCCTGCAGTGTGGAAAGTGGGGGTCTTGGTTGGCCCTCTTTCTTATCTGGGAAACGCGTAGGACTGTGGCATGGCTGGAGGCCTTCATGCCTTGCTGTTAAGACCATTCAAATCATGTACTTGAAATAACCTACTGCACTTCTGGGCTAGAAGCTTGCTGACGTTTGGTTTTGATTTTCTGATGAGGTGGGCTGGTATGCTTGGAAGTGCCTAAACCCTGGAAATCACGGGCAGCTTGCATGTCAACTCTTTCATCGTTGGTATGAGAGGAAGTTTTTCGGTATAGCAGTAATACACTTAGCACAAATACATTTGGAATATGGTTGAATAAAGGAAAAGGGAAGAGCTAATTCACATTGTGTGAAAGTGGTGACCTACCCCATCCTTGGTCCTTAGTGATGATGTCATGATGCTTAGGTGTCCTGGCTTATGATGGAGCACCTAGCCAAGGTAGGGGTGTCCTGCACCAGTGTCCAGGAATCCCAGGTTCAGGCTGTACTTGCAGGTAGCTCTGTAGTGGAATGCGTTTGTACACCCCAGGTTTCTGTTTCCTTTTTTTTTTCCTTCTACCTCTTTCCTGAAGAATTGTGCAAATCTTATGAAATCACTTAGTAAAAGAACTTCGAAATGTGTTCACTGCTCTTGGGAGTAAGGTAGTGGTATTTTGGGGCTTTTTGTTTATTTATCTGCAATATACTTATTGCCCAATGAGAATAGCCCATATCTTCCTTTATTGTGATCAGTACCTTGAGAATCAGATTGTTCAGTATTAAAGCACAACTCCAGGCCTTTGCCTTATTGCTTTCAGCAGTGTTTAGGTATATGGGCCAGAAAGATTCCCCTCACTGGTTGGAAGTCAGTGTGATAGCTATAAATAGCTATTATTTAATGGTTGGCCCAGTTAAAGACTCAATGAGCCCCTGTGCTCTAGCTAGTCATAAAAAATCAAGAAGTCGCAGACTGGTAGACTTGCCTAAACTGTGAAGTGTGTAAAATAAACAAGTCAAAGGCCAGGCCCTACAAGGTGGCCATTGTTTAGTTGCCCCCCAGCCAGGATGCAAACAGGAAAGGGATGCATTCTCTGACCCAGCACACACTTAAATGCTCTCTATCACTGGCCCAGTGTGTGCTGGAACATTTGATTAGTAAGGGATGGGGTTCCATTGGCTGCAACCAGGATCTTGAAGAGCTGAGAATGCTATTAGGCCACTTGGAGAATCCCTGTTGGCTAGGGTTGGAGGAAGGTGCTGTGCTGAAGTCATACTGATGATGGATTCAAACTGTGTCCTGTCATTAGGTTGCTCACTGGTTTTGAGAAAACAGCAAACTATATTTTTAAGTAATCTTAACATTTAAACATTTTTTTTTTTTAAAAGAAAAGGCATCATCAAGGGAGGTATCATATTACTGGGAAGATGTTGGATGTGGTGTAAGAGACCTGGGTGACCTTGGACCAGCCAGCCTTTTTGGGCATCTTGAGAATGTTCCATAGGGAAGTCCCTTATTATTCCTTAGTGGGGGCCAAACGTGTGTAACACTGTTTTGAAAACTCATAAGCTCTGTATGAAAAGTTTACAGATGCAGTCTTAAAAAAAGTCATTTGAAAAGTCGTTTGTGGGCCCTTGGTCCGTGATTTGGCTGATATTTACTTCCGTCCCAGGGTGGATCTGTGGCGATTTCTGACCAGCTGCTCACTGAAGAAGCCTGGAGCACAGGGGCGAGGCCAGAGTTCTGGGTCCATGTCTAGTAGCCATGCCTGGAAATGAGCAAGTAATTTAAATTGCCTGTCCCTCAGTGTCTTCATCTGAAAATGGGGTAGAGCCTGCCTTCCTCATAGGGCTGTGGGAAGGGTAAAAGGACAAGGAGAAAGAGCACCATGAAAAAGGAACGGGGGTTAGAAATCAGGCCTTGCGCTGGCACAGTGGATACAGACAGGCCTGTTGGCTGGGCCCCTGCTTCCTCACCGCCATGCCCTGCAGCCTCCTCCTCATCCAGCTGTGCTGTTCCTGCTGATGCTTTTCTGTGATTTCACAATGGAGCATTTCTTTAAAATTAATAACAGTATTCAGGGAAATTGCCCTCCTCTCACTTTGTCCTGAACACTCAAGCATAGGCACGTCTCCTGGAGATTTTCTATTTGAATCAGGATTCTTTCCCTTTGTGGAGATTCCCTTCAGAACTGCACTGTCCAGGGTAGAAGCCACTGGCCAACAGTGGCTTATTGAGCACTTGGACTGTGGCCTCTCTGATGGAGACTTGCTCTAAGTGTAAAATACACACTGGATTGCAAAGATGTAGCATGGGGGAAAAAAGTAAGCTATCACCTTTATTTTGTATGTTGATTACATGTTGAGATGATACTGTTTTGAACATAATAATAGAGGAAGTAAAATGTGTTATTCACATTAATTTCACCTGTTTTTTATTTTCTTTTTAACGTGGCTACTAGAAATCTGACATTATACAGATGTGGCTTGCATCCTGCCTCTATTGGCTAGCGCTGCTTCAGAGCATTTCCTCTGTGGCCGCAGGTTCTGCCCCACGATGTCTGGCTGAACGCTGCAGGGCTCTGCTCTTCCTGCACCTCTGCAGCCAGAGCACTCAGGACTCATTTAGGGAGCCGAGGGGAGGGCACTGAGTCTGGACAGAAGGTCTACCTTGAGGTCAACTTAAGTGGTTAGATGGCCATTTGAAGAGATGATGTGCCGAAGAATCCCACTCAGCTATTCTTCTCAGGGCTGGCTTTGGAAGTAGGGAGAACATCTGGAGAGAGATGTCAAGCCAAGGATGTGTGTGCAATTTTCGACATAACAGAAAAACGCTCAATCATAGGGTGCTGATTTGCAGGTTTTCACTTGATGCTCTCCTTTCAACTCCCTCTTTTCTATCCTGACTCTGCGGTGCCAGGCAGCTTTGTAGACAGCCTCATTAAGGAAATTACTACTCTAGGGGTTCTGTGCCGTGTTTCTCTGTTGTTTTACGATTTTGAGGGGTGGTTTTATGCAGGCTTTAGTCATTCCTAAAGCGTGATTGGTTGGCCCTTTAAAAAATTGTGTATGGCTTTTTCCTTTTAGTAAATGTCACATGACATTGGGCCTGTTGGTTCCACCTCCCTCGCCTTCTGACATCATTTCGGATTCTCCTCCTCTCTCTATAGCTGCTGCTTTTCAGCCTTCTTTCCTCAGTCCCTTCTTGAATAGCTGGTGGCCTCCAGGGTTCCATCCCAGGTCCTCTTTTCACTGTCTTGTCCCCCCCCCAGAATATCTCATCCCCTGGTGCTTCAGCACCCTTCCTTCTGCATCTGGCTTCCAAATGCCATCTCCGCCCAGACCGCTCTGTGAGTTCCATGGATCCATGCGTGTCCAGGCAGCCACGGTGTGCAGCGTCTGAAGGCCTGCCGTGCTCTCTCCTTTCCAGCCTGTGGCATTCCCTCTGTGCGTGGGCAGCACTCTCACTGCCCCAGCTCCCCTGTCAGAAACGTGAGTGTCATGGCATGTTTCCAACTCCAACTAGACACCAAGCCCTTTCCATCTGCCTCCATTCTTCCCTTTGCCCATTCAGTGATGTGGCCTTTGCCCAGCTTGGTGAGCTGCTCCCCTTTCTCCTTGGGTCCCCCACTGGCAATCCTGTAGTCGGAGCCTGTGAAACCCAGTGACACTGGCCATGCACTCAGAAGCTACCTCCCTGCCTCCTGCCTGCAGCGTCCATGGCCAGCAGTGGTGCTCTTCCATGCTGACCAGCTGGCCCCCACTGCTCACTGGACAATGTTAGGACTTTGCAGACTGGAGTGCAGAAACCTTGCAGCGTCCCTTTCCCCCCACTGAGTAAATTCTGGGCAGGTCCTTCCACTCTTTGGAGGGCATGGCCGTCATTGCAGGGGTGAGACCAGCCCCTGCTTTGTGGAAGATGCATTGTCGGGAAGCTACATCTTCCCCCTTGAGCAGAAGGCAGTGTGTAGTAGCAGTCTTCTGTGAGGCAGAAGAGCCTAGGATTATGCAATGTGCATATTTCCTGTGTTATCTTCAAGGTCATCGCTCCCCAGGAGCACAGTCACCAAAATGGTCTGCAGCTCCTGGCTGGCAGGGAGGCTCACCCATGGGTGGCAGCTCTTTTCCTGCCTTTCCCTCGTCAGAACGATTCAAGGCCAAAGATGACGGAGAAGCCTGAAACTCATCTTAAAGACGGAAGCCTGTTGTGCTGCTCTTTGTTTGTCTAGCCATCATTTGCTGAAGGCCGACCACGTCCAGGGAGGGATCAGAGGTGCATCCTCTTCGTGTGCCTGTCGTTCCCTTGCTGCTCAGTGGGTTGTCTAATTGGTGCCTGGGGGTTGCCTGCCACAGGAGCTTTCTGGTACTTAATTTCAGGTATAGATCCTTCCCTTCCTCCCTAACCCCTCCCCAAATAATCCCAAATCTTACGGCTAAACTTAGTCTCCAAGTACTTTTTAACCCATCAGGATGAACAGCTTGTGGTCTAATCAAATCACCGTGTTGCCCGTGAGAAGGCCTGGTCTTTGCCAGGAAATCAATGGAGGTGGCGAGCCTGGACGTGTTGGGAGCTGGCTTTGCTGGCAGTGCCACCTCATTTCAATTAAAAGGGCATTGGCTGGGAACAGCAGTCTCAGAGCTTGTTGCATTTCCTACTGCCTTCAAAATGAGAAACTAGGAAAATAGCAGATTGGGGCCTTCGCATGAGAAGGCAGTAAATGGCTCCCTTTATTGACAAAAGGAAACATTTTACTGCTGTCTCACTGATGGCCCATATAAGTTCTCCTGCTCTTGCTTATCAGACCCTCCTCACCAAGGGTGTTTTGGTGTGTAAAGTGGAATTTC